TCAAATTGCAATTATCAAAGATTACAAAGAGCTTGATTAATTTATTTTAATTGAACTGTATGAAATACGTAACATATTATATATAATCTTGATTTAGCTGAAAAACTCACATCTAAGTATAAATTTAAGATAAAATATTAATACATTTTAAGTATGATACATTATCCTTTGTTGTTCATGAGACGAACTCTTGGGTCCTTATTCTTGAAATAGTTGCTTATACGTTTTACTGCGCAGCTATTTTATGATATGATTAAACTTGCGCAGTAAAACTTACGTATACGCAACTATTTCAAAAATAAGAGCCCTGGTCTGCTCCTGTGTTCATGAGACTGCAAGAGCAGGAGCAAGAACAGACCATAGAACATTACAGTTATAGATAGGAGATTATACTATTCTCTCGGATCCAGATCTCACTCGCTCTACTCTCGTTATCGTAAGCACCCAAAGAGTGAGAATTTCTTATAAAAAACTTACCAACCGCGGTGCGGAGGGTCTGGGGGGCGTAGGCCCCCAGTTACACGACTAGGGACAGGCACTTTTTTTATTTTTATTATTTTTTTATTTATAAAACTTCAAATATAATAGGAACATACGCACACACCGCGAGGGCGCCGTCCGGGCGGGCGGGCGAGTGAGCTTGCTGGTGACTTGTGTTAGTGTATGTACGTGCGTGCGTGCGTGCGTGCGTGCGTGCGTGCGTGCGTGTTTGTGTGTGTGTGTGTGTGTGTATGTGATATGAAGAATAATGTAAAGATTTGCTGTTAGATAAAAACAAAATATTTAATTACAATTATAAGATATAAACTTAAATATAATACACTTTAATATAATACACTTAAAACATTTTATATGTAATATGTAGTTCTACCTCTTTCTTTTTCCTCTCTCTCCTAAAAATGTTTATTTACATATACTACATCAATTATTCGCCTATACATGCGTAATTTCACATGAAACCTTTTCAATAGTAAAAAGTTTAATTAGAGTAAAATGATTAAAGATTACTCATTTATCTTTCTTTTTCGCTATAGCAATCTATATATATCTCATGAAATGGCACGAATAATGTACTATAAATGATTAATAAAATTCTCATTGATAGTAAAATTTAAGAAGAGTGCGGAAGTTTTCTACTGAATCTATATTTTGCAAAGAAGCTACAGAACATATCTCTTATATGCATAAGTCGTACACGTATATGCATTCATCTAGCATAACACGAATCATACGTATCTATAGAACATATTTTTCGTGTGTTATACCTACACGTTTCTTGCAAATCTACACACTTTCTTGTGTGTTACATATTTACACCTGTAAGCGTGTCAAAAGTGATTACAGGTGATTACAAGTGATTATAGATGTAATATGTATTAATATAACAAACTTGTTTTTACAATGTAGACGTTTAATATCCGTTTCTTTTCGACCTATCATATTTAACTATTATATTGTATATTATTCATCTTAAACTGTTTAATATTATGACACAAGTTATAAATTTGTGGAAAAACTTTTTAAAGTCAATACAACTAAACTGTCGTCTAATTAAAAAAAAATTAATTTAAGTGTATATTAAATTCAACCATAAACGACATTGACGTTTAATAGTTATCTTCTTGACCAATCATTTCTCACTGACAAGGGAAACACCAGGTGACTGTTCTGGAGATTTTGATGCGCTTTTTACAGGCTTCTTGAGCGAAAAAAAAACGACACGTGTCCGGCCGTTTCAGTCAATGGGCCATAGTTTCAAAAAAATCGATTTTTAAAAATGACTCTAGTCGACCGCGGCATACTTGATACGTTCGATCATCACTGTTGAACAACAGCAGCGGTAGCGCAATAAGTTAGACATTGGCTTCGTACACAGTAAGTTGCATGTTCAAATTTCGTCTCGTGCATTTTTTTATTAAAAATTTGTTTTTATCTGTAATTATTCATATTATTGCAGATATACACGAAAAAGGTTATTTATTTAATTATATTGATATATTTTTTTTGTAAATGAAATTTAAAAATTTTTAAATAATTATTGTAATAATTTTAAAAATCTGAATAAAGAAATAGTATTATCTTTATAAATTTTATTTTAATTTAATGTTATTAATTTTTATTACTTTTTGATTGTAATGAAATTTTATAAATTAGTAAATAATTAAATATTCATGTATGGAATAATTATTATTACCGTCGTTGTCGTCGTCATCGTTGTAGTTATTCATATAAACACATAAAAATTCAATAAAAACGTGAGTGATCACAAGCGACATGACGAAAAATTTTCTAATAATTTTCTCAAATAATACAAAATCGTTAGAGTGACATGTCGGCACAAGCTTCACAATCTTTGTTTATCATTACGTAATTGATAAGGAAAAAAAAGAAAAATAAGATAACAAATAAGAGAACAAATTATCTATTAATTTGAAAATTTATAAACTTATTACAATCAAGAAGTAATAAAAATTAATAACATTAAATTAAAATGAGATTTATAAAGATAATAATATTTCTTTATACAGATTTTTCAAATTATTACAATAATTATTTAAAAATTTTTAAATTTTATTTACAAAAAATATATCAATATAATTAAATAAATAATCTTTTTCGTGTATATCTACAGTAATATAAATAGTTATAAATAAGAACAAATTTTTAATAAAAAAAATGCACGAGACGAGATTTGAGCACGCAACCTATTGCGTACGAAGCCAACGTCTTACCTACTGCGTTACCGCTGCTGTTGTTTAATAGTGACGGTCGAACATATCAAGTGTACCGCGACCGACTAGAGTCATTTTTAAAAATCGATTTCTTCGAAAGTATGGCCCATTGGCTGAAACGACCGGACACGTTTCGTTTTTTTTTCGCCCAAGAACAAGCCTGTAAAAAGCGCATTAAAATCCCCGGAGCAGTCACCTGGTGTTCCCCTTGTGAATATAAGATAATGAATATTGTTTAAAAGTAACATATAAAAGTTTTTAGTATTCAGTATAATCAAAATAATTAAATATTAATGAAAATTATGTTAATTCTTCATGAAAACTTGATAAAGTATGTATCTAAATTGTTTGAAAAATTATTGAAAACTCTTGCAATATTTTATAGATTTTCGCAAAAAATTGTTAATATATATTGAGTTGTATTGAATAAATGATGACTTGCATTAAAGGATACAATTTGCTACAATTTGCTGATTTTTCAAAAAATTATTCTGTACAAGTAGTGTAATAAATATTAAGAATAAGGGAAATTGAATTAAATTATCACTGAATATTACTGTACTGTATTTAATCTTGATTCCTTCACTACATTTGTCACTAAAAATTGTAAATTGTAATATAATATATAAAAATGCGAAATATAATATAATCAATTCAAATTTGTAATGTCCCCTAAATAACGTAAGCCTTATGTTTGCATTTCAATTGTACAATATTTTTATATACAAATATGAGATAATATTTTAGGTATTTCTCGTACATAAAATGTAGATATTTTAATATATACAAGGATCGTTATCACGATATTGTAAAACTAGAATTCTTGTAAAAAGAGTCTAGCTATAGCCTTACTCTGTCAAAATATTGCGAGAGAAAAAGAAGGAATATTTTCTCTCTCTTTTGAACACGTTGTAAGTTTGTAATATTGTATAAGTTTGATTACTTATACAATATTAATATATTATGTGTCAATATTAATCGCATTGTGATTGTTGTTACGTCGTTTGAAACATTTATGTCATTACAAATATATCATTACATTTTTTGAACGATATAATATATTGTAAATATAATACATCAAGATATCGTTACACCGGTATCACCAGTTCCCGTACAATATCATTGAAGTTAAGCATTGAACAAGCATGGTTATTTAAAAATGACTGCCTGACACGGGATCGAAACCACGCGAGTCTCATGAATAAGTGAAACGATATAAAATATGAAATGCCAGATTTTTTTTTGTTTGGACAAAATAATCATTATCAATTATCTGAACCATATTAATGAATAAATCTTTGGAATTTAACAAAAAAATATATATTATTAGTGTTGAAAACACTAAATACATAATTATATCTCATTATACTTTCCTCAACCTATTAATAATGATTTTTCATTGAATTTTTTAAAATTTGTACTGAAATATTGCTGAAATATTAATAAAATTTTAATGAAATTAAGCCAATTGTGAATGCCTTTTAAAAACATTTCAATAAAAGTTCATTATATTTTCAATAAATTATTTCTATCAGAGAATAGAGACTTTTTTGTTCAGTTTTAGAATACAAGCACACGGCAGGCCACCATAGTTTATCTACCGTATATAATGCGTAATCATTCACGAATTTTCTTAAATTAATAACTTAAAATTTTACGTAGTTTGAAAAGTGGCAGAAAAATTATTTGTTTAGTTTAACTTAATCTACCTGTACATGACGTATCTTGCGTCAGACACCCTATATGCGTGCACACGCATGCGTGTGTGTGCATGTGTGTGTGTGCACATATACTCATGTGTATATATTTATACTAAGCTCCATATACTCAAGAAGTTTACTTATAGAATATTGACTCTTTTCTACAAAATGTATGTTATAATAGCTGCACATACTTACAAATGCTTCTACATAGTGAATGTAGGAGCGAGAACGAATTACACAATGAAGCATTGCACAATATTTATATTTTTCTATCGTTTTCTCACAATGCTCCAGTTTATTTTCTCACGTATATTTACTGCGTAAAAACATTTATAATTCTGTGCATCTAATATGACATAAATTTCTGTGAAATTTTTCTGAAAGAAAGAACGTGTATATGTCAAACATAACTAAAAATTTTATACATGTCTGCAATGGAACAAATCCTTATCAAACTAGCATTACATTGCGCAGGTACGACTGAATGCAATTAAAAGATAACCGTAAAACGCGTCGTTATATATATAAGACGAATGATAGTAATAAAGTGAATAAATGCGCTTACCTTTTCTTTCTTTCTTAATGTGTTAACAATGAAGAGATCATTCGTAGACAAACTCAACACGACACTTGAAGCAGTGAGAATGGCCCAGCGATGTCATCGTCTTCCGCCCCAGAACACACAAGAACGATATTTCGGTCGATTTTATCCCCACCGTATTACGTCGAATAACTATATATCGCGATCTACTGCGGTCTGGCATGTCATTCGGGCATCTATGATCGGACTGTTTTCGTTTTCATATAACTGCTTCCTAAATTTGTCAAACATAACAATACATATATAAGTATATAGTGGATATTCCATAATTGGTGGTATAATCAGAAAAAAGACGACTCTACATGAAAAATAAAAATAAAATGTTGAAAAATATAAAAATAAAATGTTTTTATACGATCCTTTGTTTTCAAGAAAAAAAATTTGAGTATTCATTAGGTGTGCGTGCATTTCACTATAGGTACATTCTGTTTCACGCATATATGCGCATTTATCTATAATATATGTAATGCGATTATAGATAAATGCGCACATATGTATGAAATGGAACGCACTTTGAATTCAGCTGACATTACAGTCTCTATACGTATCTCTATATGTATCTCTATTTTTATACGTATCATACGTGTATGTATTTATCAAAGGGTAAGTTACTTTTGGTTTTTAACTGAGTTAAGTTAAAAATTAGTTCGCTATAAAATAATTGAGTTCATGTTAAAAATTACTCAAATAAAATACCAACTCAGTTAAATGTTAAAAAGTTAAAAAAAAGTTAGAAATTACTTACGGAAAACTTAATTATCTAAAATTATATATGTATTTTTTTCATAATTAGTCTTTAAATTTAGCTTAAATTTATGTGAAATAATGAAAGTATATTAAGCAAATTGACCAATCGCAGTTAATTATTTTTCGATCGTAAAGAGAATAGTTGGTTGTGATTGGTTAATTTCCTTACTGCTTACGTCTTAAGTTTTTCTATGTGCCACTAGCTTTATATCCCGATCTATAATAGGTGTATTAAGCTTTAAGTTGTAAAAAATTGACTAATCACAGTTGACTTATAGAAGAATAATCAATTATGATTCATCAATTTCTTACGGCTTACAGCTTACCTATTGTAGATTAAGTCTTATGCGTCATCTACAATGGCAGTAGGAGTTATAGTAAGAAATAAGTAGTAAGTCAATAGAACAATTACAATCGATTATTCTTGAATCGTGAGAACGGAATTGATTAATTTGCTTACTGATTATTTCTTATTAGTACTCCTACTACCATTATAGACAACGCATTACAGTGTTGGGGGTCGATTGTGTATCTCGAAACGGAGTGAAAATTACAAAAGTGAGCAAATTAACTAGACATTGACCAATGAAGTTATAAATTCTAGTAAATTTGCTCACTTTTGTTATTTTCACTCCGTCTTAAGGTACACAATCGACGCCCTGGAAGCTTCATTCTATCTTTCTTTGGCATGTAATGAACAACAAAGGTAGAATAATACTTATAATGCTATAAGCTATAATGCTATAAGCATGCTGTAAGCGTGAATCGGACCACACAGACATAGTCAGATCTTTTATTAAAAATTATTTCAAGTTCATTTTCAGATGTTTCGTAGCCAATAAAGCGATCAGTTCAGTATCTAAAAATAAATTTAAAAAGATCATAAGTATAATATTCGGTTATGAATACTGCTCTTATATATACCTGTCTGTAAAAGTGCCGATAATTTTTAAATTTATTTTTTTTAATTTTTTAATTTTAAAGTTGCGAAACGCAACTTTAATATTGATGAAATAAATTAACTTAACTGAAGAGTAAAAAAAGTTAAAGTTAATGCGTAAAAATTAACTAAGTTTAAATTAAAAGTAATTTATTTAAGCTTAACTAAGTTGAGTTAAAAGTTACTAACTTTTTAACTTCTAACTTAACTTTTAACTTTTTTAAAAGTTACTACCTAACCCTGATATTTATAAATATTGCCCATGGTATTTATATATAATTATAAATATTAAAAGATTCGAGAGTATACAAGGTAACTTTTTTTTATTATTTCTTAAGCACTATATTTTGTTAGATTAAAAATTTTTCAAAATAAAGCCTACTTTAGTACACGCACACACACACACACACACACACACACACACCACATACACACACACACACACCTGCATCTTTCGAGTTAAATCTATATCAATACTTTTCAATGTATTTTGTATCTTTAAGACCTAAAAAACATTAAATCAAATTTTTTCAATTGTACAACACTCGTAATATCATCCTGATAATTAGTAAAAGATTTAGCGGAATAAGAATAGTAAATTGCCACTGACAAGGGGAACGCCAGGTGACTGCTCCGGGGATTTTGATGCGCTTTTTACAGGCTATTCTTGGGCGAAAAAAAGACGACACGTGGCCGGCCGTTTCAGCCAATGGGCCATAGTTTCAAATAAATCGATTTTTAAAGAACGACTCTAGTCGATCGCGGTACAATTCATTGAACAGCAGCAGCGGTAACGCAGTAGATAAGACGTTGGCTTCGTACGCAATAGATTGCATGTTTAAATCTCGTCTCGTGCATTATTTTTTAATTAAAATTTTGTTCTTATCTGTAATTATTTATATTATTATAGATGTACACGAAAAAGATTATTTATTTAATTATATTGATATATTTTTTGTAAATAAAATTTAAAAATGTTTAATTATTGTAATAATTTGAAAAATCTGTACAAAGAAATATTATTATCCTTATAAATTTCATTTTAATTTAATGTTATTAATTTTTATTACTTTTGGATTGTAAAAAAATTTTACAAATTTAAATTTACAAATTAGTAGATAATTTGTTCTCTTATTTGTTATCTTATTTTCTTTTTTTCCTTATCAATCACGCAATGATAAACAAAGATTGTGAAGCTTGTGCCGACATGTCACTCTAACGATTTTGTATTGTTTGAGAAAATTATTAGAAAATTTTTCGTCATGTCGCTCGTGATCACTCACGTTTTTATTGCATTTTTATTTGTGTTCATATAAATAACTACAACGATGACGACGACAACGGCGGTAATAATAATTATTCTATACATGAATATTTATTATTTACTAATTTATAAAATTTCATTACAATCAAAAAGTAATAAAAATTAATAACATTAAATTAAAATAAAATTTATAAAGATAATATTTCTTTATACAGATTTTTCAAATTATTACAATAATTATTTAAAAATTTTGTTTACAAAAAAATATTAATATAATCAAATAAGTAATCTTTTTCTTGTATATCTATAATAATATAAATAATTACAGATAAGAACAAATTTTTAATTAAAAAGAAATGCGCGAGACGAGATTTGAACATGCAACCTACTGCGTACGAAGCCAACGTCTTACCTACTGCGCTACCGTTCAATAGTGACGGTCGAACGTATGAAGTATACCGGAAAATATGAAGTATAGCGGAAAATATGAAGAGATAAAAATTGTATATTTTGTTCTCATAGAACTCTGAGAATTTTTTCAGAATTTTGTGTTAACTTTTTAGTACTTCAAGAAAATGTAAGAAAATGAAGTACTAAAAAGTTAATATAAAATTCTGAAAAAATTCTCAGAGCTCTATGAGAACAAAATATACAATTTTTATCTCTTCATGTTTTCCGGTAAAGTTGACAGAATTCAAGTAAAAAATTATTGAAACCAATAATCTTGTAGAAATTTACGTAAATATCTTAGAAAATAGAGGTCGTATAAAAAATTTTTTCAAGCAAAAGTTATTTGCGTTTTTACGTTGAACAAAATGCCGTAATAAAAAATATGTATTTCTATTTAAAAAAGCAAAGTTGACCTTGTTCTGACCTTGGCGACGCCATCCTATG